CCCCGTTCTGCAAGGTATCTGGAGAAGTGAGCGGTGACTCACCGAAGCGCCTCCCCTGCCACAAATTTTGTTAGTCTTTAAGGTGCTGCTGGAGCTCTTGCTCTTTTCTCTGCTGCTATGGGCAGACTAACGCGGCTACCCATTTTGATCCTTCTGCAAGAGGACGCCTTCGCTAGGCTTAAGACTAGGGCTTGCCAACCTCCAGGTGGCACCTGGAGATCTCCCGAGATTATAGGGCTGCCAGCGCTGGGAATAGGGCTGCCAGCCTCCAGGTGCCACCTGGAGGTCTGCTATTACTGTGGTATTTTTAATTGTATGTATGTAGTGGTATGCAATGATATTCCCAGTAGTCATGTATGGCTGCGAGAGTTGGACTATAAGGAAGGCCGGGCACGGAAGAATAGATTCTTTTGAACTACGGTGCTGGAGAAGACTCTTGAGAGTCCCTTGGACTGCAAGAAGATCAATTCAGTCAATCCTAAAAGAAATCAACCCCGACTGTTCCCTGGAAGGCCAGATAATGAAACTGAAGCTCAAATACTTTGGCCGCCCAATGAGAAGGAAGCACTCACTGGAGAAGACCCTGATGCTGGGAAAGATTGAAGGTCAAAGAAGACGGGGACGGCAACGGATGAGATGGTTAGACAGTGTCATAGATGCAACGAACATGAAATTGAGCGAACTTCAGAGGACAGCAGAAGACAGGAGGGCCTGGCGTGACCTGGTCCATGGGGTCGCGAAGAGTCGGACTCGACTGTGCAACTGAACAACAACAAATGTAGTGGAACAGTCTACTCCTCCCCTAATATCTATGTGATTTAGTTTCGTCCTGTCGGGTGGCGCTCTCGTTTCAGTTTCCAGTTTTGTATGTTAGCTGAAGTTGTTGGTGGTTCGCCTCGTCTCCTTGCTCATAAATGACTGATGTTTTGAGCTATCTTGTCACTGTCGAATGTGTAGGACAGGGGACCAGTGAATGTGATTTATGATTGTGACTTCTGACATTTCTCTTGACATGTATCATGCTGGCTGTCACTGTGTTTTAGTAAGAGTTTGATTTTTAGTATTTAGCCCAAGCAGAAGAGATTTAGAATAGAAGTAATGAGAGTACTTTTTTTTTTAATCCTCAAAGGTTCTTTCAGGTACATTCAGAAAATAGTGGAATGGAATGTATGTTTTGAAATTACAAGTTCCTCAGCTGAAAGACACTTGAGAAGAGAAGGTAGTGTCCTCTAAACAAATAACTTTCTATGCAAGATAGAGCACCTGGCCCCGCTGAGTCTGCCCAGAGCTAAGTTCCATGTGCCTTATCAGAAAACTCCCTAGCTCCAGGCTGAAGCAGATAAGCCAGGAAGGACGCCAAGAAAAGAAGACCTCAGTGTTCCCAAAAGCCCTTCTGTCTTCCGTGAGCAGATACGAAAACGTGAGGGCTTCTAATTCTGATCCAGATAGGAGCTTGCCAATAGAGACATGATAAGTCAAATGACGCTTTAATAATGTTTCAGTATTTCCTTTCTTCAGGCCATCTTCCAAAAGAGCTATAAATGAAGACTTCAAGTAAGTAACCCATTGCAAAGAAATTACATGCAGATAAACTCAAATAAATTGAACTCACCCTGCCGAGTTCACAAAATTGACTGTGATAATAGTCTACAAAACTTCTAAAGGTAAAGGTTCCCTTGCTCGAAAGCCAGTCGAATCCATGTGCCTTATCAGAAAGGCTCATCTCCATTTCAAAGCCGAAGAGCCATCGCTGTCCGAAGACATTTCCGTGGTCATGTGGCCGGCATGACTAAACACCAAGGCGCATGGAATGCTGTTATCTTCCCACCAAAGTGGTACCTTCTAGCTGACTTGAAATGCAGGCTTCTAAGCAATGAAATCAGTATGCACTTACATACAGGCACTGTATTATAACTAACTGCAGCTGCAGTAAAATAGAAAAAGAAGAGATTGGATTTATACCCCACCCTTCGCTACCGGAAGGAGTCTCAGAGCGGCTTACAATCTCCTTTCCCTTCCCCACAACAGACACCCTGTGAGGTAAGTGGGGCTGAGAGAGCTCTTTCAAGAACTGCTCCTGAGAGAACAGCTCTGAAGGAACTTGTAACTGACCCAAGGTCACACCAGCAGCTGCATGTGAAGAAGTGGGGAAACAAACCTGGTTCTCCCAGATCAGAGTCCATGCTCCTAACCACTACATCAAACTGGCTGTTGAACCTGGGCCTAATCTGACACTGATCACTGCATTAAGCTGGATCTCATATTTCCTGGATACGTATTCTTCCGCCTACTTCTGCCCCCGTAGGCTTTAATGCCCTTTCCCTTCTGCCCAGAGTGTCACATATATAAAATTACCATGCTGTCTTCTGCTCAATGGCACGTATGCACAAATATCCTCATAGGCTCCGTTCCGTCTTACTTATTCACAAGGCCCACTCATACTGGCAAGACATATTGACAAGCTATAATATTGTGCCTCGGATCGTCATGTGATTTTGTATCACCTGTTTGCGGGAGACATCTGGTACGACCCCTGCAGATCCCCCCCCCCCCACAACTTGTTCCTCCTTCAGTCTCTGGCCGCTGCTTCATTTCTAAATTTAGAAATGCTGTGTCTTAGGCTGGCCAGTATCCAATCTTCTGACCTGGAAGACCTTTAAGCTATCCCAGAAGATGTGTGTGCCGGATTAGGTACTCAGCTGTGAAGGAAAAACACTTTTTGTGGGCTCAGAAACACTGGCTCCTTATTCCATAGGTTCCAATGCTAAGAGGTCGCTGACGGAAAGATAGATCTGCTCTTTAGCTGTCCCCCCACAGATGGTCATCAGCTATGCTTCATTTCTTACAGTTCTCTGTTCTCCTCAGCTTTCCCTAAATATCCTTATAAGATTTAGCCGTTCCAATTCTCCTTTTATCAACCCCCTGCTACCTTAATAGTAATTGTGTGCTGTCATCGCAACTGACTCATGGCGACCCCAGGACCATGCAGTTTTCATGGCAAGAGATAAGCAGAATACATGAACCCACATGAAGCTGCCTTATTCTGAATCAGACCCTTGGTTTCAAAGTCAGAATGGTCTACTCAGACTGGCCGCTGTTCTCCGGGGTCTCAGGCAGAGGTCTTTCACATCACCTACTGCCAGATCTTTTAATTGGAGATGCCGGGGATTGAACCTGGGGCCTTCTGCACGCCAAGCATATGCTCTACCACTGAGCCACAGCCCTCTCTTAGAAGGGCTCCCCGGGTCTCAGGCAGGGGTCTTTTGCATCAGTCACCACTTGATCCTTTTAACTGCAGATGTTGAGGATTGAACCTGGGACCTTCTGCAAGCCAAGCAGATGCCCTACCACTGAGCCAAAGCCCCCTCCTAGAAGAGCTCTCCAGGGTCTCAGGCAGGGGTCTTTCACATCACCTACTGCCAGATCTTTTACCTGGAGATTGAACCTGGGACCTTCTGCATGTCAAGCAGATGCTCTACCACTGAGCCAAGGCCCCCTCCTAGAAGGGCTCTCCAGGGTTTCAGGCAGAGATCTTTCACATCACCTACTGCCAGATCTTTTAACTGGAGATGCTGGACCTTCTGCAAGCCAAACACATGCTCTACCACTGAGCCAAGGCCCCCTTCTAGAATGGCTCTCCAGGGTCTCAGACGTTTTATGAGCCATTAACTGCCTGGAATGTTTTTGTTTACTACCCCAAATCTGATTTATTTTTGACTGCCCTGCTATATTTGAGCACTGAATAGATTTGTATTTCCGAGAATATCTGCTCTTCACAGATTAAAATGATGTAAATTGGGTTGAAATGTTGGCTGTTTGTACTTACCTGCTTTACAATTATCACACAAGGGGTGCGTTCAGACGCGCCATTTCAGCCAGCATAAACTGCTCCGGTTGTAACCGGAGCAGTTTGATCTGGAAGAAACGCGATCACACTCACCTCCTGACTGCGCAGCACATCGTGATATGCCCGTTCACACGTCAGCAGTTTAAAATATTTTTTTTTACATTTTGCGCATGCGCATAGGCAGCCATCCACAGAGTTGAGATCTTTGCGCAGGCGCAGAACACCCCGTCCCGAAAAGCATGCCCTGAAGCAAAGACGTCCCTTTAAATTTTTACTCCGAAACTGGCCTCCGTGAGGTCCCGGACTCGTCTAAAGCCTTACACTAGGCACATTTTAAAAATTATTATGAACAACGGGGCGAAGCTTCGCCTAAGCGCACATCGCCTACTAACAAAAAATGGCGGCCGAAAAGCGGAAGCCTTGGGCTTCTGAACAGAAGTGGCTAGACACTGCCAGAGAGTGATCAGACGGGGATAATGCTGCTGGAACCAGAGCACTCAGGATACCACCACTTGAGGACCTAGTAGCAGAATACAACGGTTTAAAGGCTGTTTG